AGGAATAGGAGACTTTCACCTTTTCTGGCTCCTGGGCTGTTTTGAGTGGATCCTGAGAACATTCTGTCTGCATTCTGTCTGCCCTGTTGACTTCTCTTAGTGACCTTAACCTTGGTCCACAAGCTTACCAAACTCTTCCCCCGACCCTTTCAGATTCCTTTCACCCCTTACTGCCTCCTTTGTAAACCCGGTCACCACATTCCTGGAGTCCACTTAGCTTCTACCCGCTCGTTGCCTCTGTCACCCACCACTCAGAGAAAAGAGTCCTCTGTGCCATCTGTATACGAAGCTGCTGTGCACTTTAGCACCAACTTTAAATTGAAAGTTTGAAATTAATAAGATGTTGAGCCACTGTTCACAGCTCTTTGGCCGCTGGTTCATATAGATGAGTTCTCTGAACCAGATAATTACAGAAACACACTAAAGAAATTATTCTTTGAGCCCTAAGTCAGGGGCTCAAAGAAGAGACCGAGAGAGACAAAGATAGAAACAGAGAGAGGAGAGGAAGAGCCTGTCACCGACCAGGCTTGGGATCGGGTCTCTGGTTTTCAGTCCATACCAGACTATAGCTGAAGGCAGTTTGCAAAGGCACCACTTATGCACAGTGGCAGAATGTAGCGGGGAGAGGCAGGGGCGTAGACCCTCCTTTTGAAAAACCTAGCTTCTGAAAACTAAGAATCACAGAATACAAATTTTCACATGATTATTCTCTTTAAAAAAAAAAAAGAGAGATGTTCTCTTGGCAAGTTCTGTATACTACTCAAATATTTGTAAATCAAATTATATTTTAAATGCATCAAAGGAACTTCCGTTTAAGGTGCCCTTGGAGTAAATGAGTCTACAAAGCAAATAAAAATTTTTTATGTGAATCATTTTTCTACATTGCAAGTATGGATTTTGACATAACCATTGCTTTATTGGGTCTTTCTAAATTTTAATTACTTATTTCTGGAGTGGAGGCAGTTATAGACCAGTGCTGAGAGCCCGGGCTTTGGCGTCACATATATGTGGTTTTGAAACTCAGATCCACCTCCCAATGTGACTTTGGACAAGTTATTTAACTTCTCTGAGCTTCTGTTATTGTATTTATGCAATGAGGATGATATATTTATAGAGTTGCGAAGTAACCACTGTAAACCTTCCCACAGTTCCCGGCACAGGGCAGTGTGGTGTGGTGTAGCGTGCTGTGGTGTAACATGGCGTGACGTGGCATGGTGCTGTGTGGCGTGTGGCGTGCTGGAGTGTGGCACGGTATGGCATGGTGTGGCGTGGCATGGCATCACGGTATGGCATGGTGAGGCCTGGTGTAGTTTGGTATGGCATGGCGTGACACAGCTTGGCATGGTATAGTGTGGTGTGGTGTGATATGATCTTCATAGAGTGCTGGGGGAAAAGAGCTTGTTATACACTTATATTAAAAAATAAGAATTGGGGCTTTGGTAACGTGCATACAGGTACCTAAACAGTCAAAACTGCAACCAGAGAGGGGCCAAGGGCAGAGGCCACAGATCTCTTCAATTGTTGCTTGTGCTGTCTGTGTTCGGCAGAAACATGGGCTGAGGCTTCATCTTCGAAACCCCTACTCCTTCACCCCCATGCTGGAAGAAGGCACAGGGAACAAGGTGCCCAGGTCCCTTCTCTTAGGCACAAACATGGCGGAAAACCAGAAGCAGATCGCCCAGTTCTCACGGAAGGATGCTCAGGTAGGGAAACTGACCAGCGATTGATCTTCTCCTTTAACTCCTTCTGGAGGAGGCTCTTGAAAGGAAATGGGCCTGGTTGGCATTGTCCTAGAGCATGTGTTTGAAAGCCACAGAGGCTTGGACAGGCCACCCTGCTCGGAGATGGAAGTCAGTGATTAAGACCAGCAGACACCAGAAACCCTCACACCTGTGTGTGTTCAATATGAGGCCACTGTATGGGTGACCACCTACTGAATATCAAAAGGGAATCCCTTGATATGTACTTATACTCTGTACTTTCTATTTCTCCTGCTTTCGGACAGAACTCTAAGTGGTTATCAATATTAAAGCACGTAAAGGCCAAAAAGAAGGATAAAGGGCGGATCAGAGACAATTAAAGATAGAATGAACTGGATCAGGAATTTAGAACCAGAGAGTTGTAATAAGTATTCATTCGATTTGGCATCAATTTCCCTGACAGCCTAAGGAAAGAGCTTGTCCATGATGGCATGCAGGTCTAGTGAAAGAAAGCACCCACATCTGATGGAGATGCACATTTTTTTTTCTTGAGATTGCATTCTAAGTAATTTGTTGGGTGTCATGGGCCTGGTCTGACTGGTTTTGCAGATATGAAAAGATTCTTTGAATGGCTATTTTTTGTACTCTGCCTACATATAAGCCGAAGGCATAGCATTAACTCATATCTTGGTGGAGACATTTTTATAAGAAGAACCTAATCTAATTAATGTGTTTTGCTTTGTTGTTGCGTTAATCTAGTGTTGGGTGAGACCAAGAGAATCACAGATACACAATATTTCTCTTCGACTAGCAGTAGCCAAACCTGGCTGACAGTCAGAATCACCTTGAGAGCTTTGCTTTTTTAAAAAAGTGACTCTTTTGTTAAAAAAGTGACCACTGCTTACACCCTCTTCTCCAAACCCTGCCTATCTTAGATGCACTAGAGAAGATTCAGGACAAAGCTGAGTCCCTGGTCCCATAAGACAGAGGCTGTAGCCTGGAATGCTAGCAACCGTAGGAACAGGAGGCAGAGGCCACATCCCATTGTAGAAAGTAAAGAACTTGAATTCTGGTTTTGTCTCTACATGTTGTCATATTAAAGGCCTGCTGCAGAGAAACCTGTTTAACTTTATTTTTATCAAGACTTCTCGAATGTACTTTGGCACAGAACTTTTATGTAACAGTTATTAAAATTCCATGGGTATATACATGAGTCTAGATGAACCAAAAATTTAAAACTCCGGGCTGAAAATCAAAATAAGGCCTCCCATAGCACAGGCATTCATCCCTGCTCCTGTCACCCATCCAGTGAAGGAGGGGTGGGTGTCCTAACCAGGCTGTCAAAATGAATTCTGTCGTGGGAGCTTGTGGGGGTGAAGGGTTGCAGGCTTCAGTTTCTACTTATGATAAGAGGACAGGAGATTTGAAGACCAGGGAAGAACAGTTAGCATGCTGAAATACAAGGAAACTGATCTTTCTTTTATCAGTAATATGTAAACAGACAGGACAGAAAGAAGAAGAAACACGTAAATGGTTTTTGGTTTATCACAGCACATCCTAAGATATTTGCCAATTTTCCGTGGCTGACTACTGTTCTTGGCCTGCATCAACCGGTTTTCCCTGCCACCACCCGATGGCTCTTCCTCTGCACAGGCTCTCTCTGACCTCCCCCAGTGCTGATATCAGCACACAGACCTAGGACTGGGAGTAACTCAGCATAGCCACGCCGAGCCGCGGCTGGGCATGAGTCCTGAGGAACCATGGAGCCTCAGCTGAGGTGCAGCAGGCCACGTGGGGTGGCATGGAGGGCCGAGCGTGGGAGCAGTGTCTTCGTGGGGTCTAGGCAATGGGGCCTTGACTTGGTGCTCTGTTCCAGGCCTTTCCCAAATATGAGGCCTTCATGAATCGCTTGGCATTAGCCATTAACCCTCTACTGGACGCAGCCCCTGTGGACATGGAAGCCTTAAGGCAGGGCTCCCTGCTACAAAGGCTCAAGTCGCTCTCCACCCTCACACCCCTGCTACAGGCAGGTAAGTCCAAAGTGCTGGCCTCAGGGCATCGTGTGTGACCTTCACAGAGTTGAGCCTATTTTCTCAATGACTGAGCATTGCTTGACATTCTGAGGCAGCCTGTCCATTGATAGGGGCTGCCTGGAGCACGGTCACGAGAAGCACTTAGCCTGGCGCGCCCTAGAACCAGAGCCTGACACAAACGCTTACGTGCAAGTCGTTCATTTTGAAGGGTGGCCCAGGGAAAGGAGGAGTGAAACTGCAAAGAGGGAGAGTTGATACCAAGGTGTCCTGCTGTGCTGGCCACTCCACAGGTGACAAAGTGCTGAGCCTGTGAGGACCGTGGAAGCAGTATGAAGTGCACATGAAGACCATCCCCAAGAGAGGAAAGGAGGAACATTTATCCATCGCGTTCTGTCCTCCATTGGTCAAAGCTTTCCCCATGACATATTAAATCCCATATGGGGCTGTGTATCCGTGGGTGCCATGTGGTTTTCGTGGGTGTCCTGTCACAGTGCCAGAAAAGCCCCAGGGCAGAAATAAAGAGGCACATCTTACAAGTGTGAGTTGAGTTGTCAGCTTCACTGTGTGAAGCTGATCAAAGCCTACGTGGAGCTCGTCACCATAGGCACGACTAGAATAAGAGATAGGTGCCAAGAGAATTTGAAGAGGTGCCCCATACAAAAAGGATACTAAATTTGAACTCAGCAAGAAAAAATTCTGTGATCAATTTTTGATTTCTGCCATAGGTATGAGAAAGGCAGTTTCCCTAAGCGTGCTATTCTTTTCTGCCACTCCTCTAGGGTGTAAAGACCAGTTTACCCTCTATGTTCTAGACAAATACTGAACCAGTTAGCTATGGTCACAAAATTACTGCATAGCAAACAACAAAAAAACTCAGTGGCATATAAAAATAAAAATTTATTCCTCATGAATCTGCGTGGTCCACCTGATCCGGTCTGGTCTCACGCATATGTTTGTGGCTGGGGCACATCGGCTAGGGCAGCTCTGCTCCAGGTGTGTCTCATCCTCCTCTTGGCTTCAGGCTAGTCCAGGCACGGCCTTCTGACATCAACAGCAGAAGCACAGTGGGCAAGCCCAGATGTGCAGGCCAGTTTCAAGCCTCTGTTTGCATCACGTCTGCAAACATTCCACTGGCCAAGCAAATCATGCAAATGAGTTCAGAATTAAGGAGCAGGGCAGGTCAACCCCACTAAGGTGGGCAGCACTGCGGTTACATGGTAAAGTGTGTGGATATGGGGAAGGGCAAAGGACTGGAGCCAGCAGAATCTGTCACACATGCCAAAAGTGGACAATGGCTCTCAGATTACCAGTCCAAAGAGCCTTGTGCAGTAAACGTTCATGCACATTTATGGAGGACCTACTGTGTGCCAGACACTAAGCTAGGCGCTGGGGCCACAAAGGCTAGAGGTCACAGCCCCCGCCTTCAAGGTGTTACTGCCTGGTTCCTGTCTGAGATAGTCTGAATCAGTATCAGAGGAGTGGACTAACCAAGCCAGCTACCTCCCAGGTCACAGGCCTTACGGAGTTTAAAGTAAAGGAATATGGAACAAATTAAATTTTTTCCAAAAATAATGCTAAGAACTAAAATGTGTTAAGTGCCTATGAACTTGCAAATGCTTTACATACCTCATTTAATCCTCACAATAGCTCTCGGGGGTATGAAATATTACTCCCATTTTATAGATAAACAGATATGCCGAGATGTTACATTACAGATCAGAGCTTTTCCTTCTTGCCTGTCTCAGTTTATGTTTTATGAATCTTCTCTTTCAGGTCGCATCCTGGGAGTCCGGCTGCCCCAGTATTACCAGGTTCTCACAGCTCCAATAACCAAGGTCAGGGGTTCCCCAGCCTCAGGCTGGGCCTCACAGTGAGGGGGGCGTCTCTCTTCACAAGGCCCCTAAGCCCTTCTCACTGCCATTTTGCTGTCCCAGGTGCTGGATCAGTGGTTTGAGTCCGAACCTCTAAAAGCCACTTTAGCAACAGATGCTGTGATTGGAGCCATGATAAGTCCCCACACTCCAGGGAGCGGGTGAGTTGGGAGGCAAAGTGGGGTGGCAGGAGTGGAGCGAACTCCCCAATGAGAGCAATAACAATTGTCATTCACTGAGCTCACCCAGCCAGCCAAGCATGAAGCCGAGAACATCCTGCATGATTCATATACCCCTCAAGGTAACATCTGAGAGCCGTGGTTCAGAGAAGGGAAGTATCTTGCCCAAAGTCACACAGCTAGGAAGTGGCAGAGCTGATTTGCAACCCAAGTTGTTTGACCACCATCCCCCCCAAAAAATCTTCTTTTGTAGCCACTACTCTCTACTACTTCAAAGACTCTCTCCCACCTCCTGCTGTGAGATCTCAACACGAAGATCTTTATCCTACTCTCTTTCTCCTCTTCTCTCTCTGGCTCACTTCTCTTCCTGTCTCTTCCCCTCCCAGGAAGCCCCATGGCCCCTCCTTCTCCCACTGATCTTTGCCCTGGGTTCCAGAACACCCTTACACAGAGACACCTTTGTGAGGGTGGGGAGCTGCCTTCCCCTTTGTGAGTGGGGGTGTGCTGACAGCCTGATCCGGGAGGGGGCAGTCAGACACAGGAAAGTCTGTAGTTGTGGTATGGCTTAGTGAGCCCCTGAAGGAGCAAGCATAAAGGGGGTGTGTGTGTGTGTGTGCGCGCGCGCGTGCGTGAGTGCGTGTGTTGGGATAGAGGATGCTGCCAAGTGCTGGGCCATGTCCAATGCTCCAGAAGATGCAGCTAAAAGCTGTCAATGTGGCTTTTCTCTCAAGAGATGAGAACACCCCTTGGAAGGGGTTTTCAACACACATTAAGCCAGCCCCAGATTCCCCAGGGCCATGGAAAAGGGGGTTTGGCAGCAGTTGCCACACCTCAGCCAAGCTCTATGATCAAACGGCCAATTTGGATCTTCCAGCTAGGGCCTCCTATTCTTTTCTCTGTGGGTCTCCGGGAGGCTTAGCTAATGCCCAGGTTGTAAAATGTGCCGTTAAGTCATTTATTTCTTCATTAATTCTCTCAAAAATATTGATGGAGCACTTGCCTGTGCTAGGTGCTGGGGCTGAAGTCCTGTGGGAGAGGTCGATACGGAACAAGTAACGAGAGTGGAGTGCCGGGAGTTATGATCAGGGAAATACAGCAGGGAGACGACGTGGTCTCAGGCCAGAGGACCCTCCATGAGGAAGAGATGCTTCATCTGAGACTAAGGACAGGAGGAATTAGCTAAGCAAAAGAGAAAGGAGGAAGGGGGTTCCAGGCTGCTGAAACGGCATGTGCAAATGCCAGGAGTTGAGAAACTACACGGCCCGTTCAAAGAACTGAAAGAGGTTAGCTTTGGTAGGAGTGTGGGGTACACGTGAGAGCACGGTGAGGGACGAGGCTGACGGGCAGGCAGGAGCTCCGGAGGCCATTTCCGGAGACTGGCCATTTCCCCCAAGAGCAACAATGAGCCAGTGAAGGCTTGAAGGGAGAGAAGCGACAGGAGCGTAGCTGGAGATCAGGCTCCAGGTTCTGCGTGGAGAAAGGTCTTCAGGAAAGAAAGACTGGAAGAAGGTGATCCAATTAGGAAGACATTACTGCAGCTGTTCAAGGAAGAAAAGAGAGTGGCCTGAACCAGGGAAGAGGCAGCAGGGAGCCGGGGAGTTGGAAAGTTCTTCAGGAGGCACAGCTGACAGCACCTGATTGGATGTAGGCGGTGAGCAACTAGCAGGAGGCAAGACTGACACCCGGGTTTCTGTTGGAAACTGAAGGTGCCATTTACTGGGCTGGAGAAGACCGAAGGGGAAATAGGTTGGGGAATAGGGAAAAGGAAGGCGTTTAAGATGCTTGTCAAGGAACCATCCAAACGGAGGTATCTGTGGGTAGCAGGGCATACAGGCTGGAGCCCAGGAAAGAACTGGAACTGTGGTTTTGGGCATCACCATCGTGTCGTTGCTAGTAGACATGTTTGCATGGGGAGAGAATATAGGCTGGGGAAGCAAAGGACTCTTACGAAAGCCTAGAGCTCAGGTAAAGGCTAGTGTCAAAGGGCTGGAGGGGCAGGGAGAGGCGGAAGGTATAAGATGGGATGGAACATTTGCATGTAGACCTCTGGGGAGATTAAATTCCACGGATTAAACTCCAGGCACTGATTCTCATGGTCTGTCCTCAGGTACGTGCTGCTACATCACGTGATGGGGGGCCTGGAGGGAATGCAGGGGGCCTGGGGCTACGTCCAGGGTGGCATGGGTGCCCTCTCTGATGCCATCGCAAGCTCAGCCACTGCGCATGGAGCAAGTATCTTCACCGAAAAGGTGAATGGCCCCTGTACCCCCTACCCTGAGTATTGGCTAAGATTCCAGAATAGAACAAAATCTCAGATTTGGAAGGTCCTTTGTTTTACTGATGGACAAGGCGGGGCTCGGAGTCAAAGGGCTCAGGTTATGCAGCCTGTTTGTGGCTGAACAGCTGTCAATCAGGTCCCCATTTTTCTGTGGACTCAGGTCTCCTTTGAATTCACCACCATTAACCCACATTTGGCTTGAGCTTTCCCATTGGCGGAAGTGGGCTGAGGGTTCACCGAGGAGCCGCAAAGCTTGGCAGGGTGGATTTGGGATGAGGAAGCTGTGAGTGCCTAGGAGCAACGCAGACAGTGGAACTCCCCAAGACCCACCCTGCATTTTCCTTCCTGGGGTTTCCGGGGCCTCATTGCGATGGGCTCTAGACAGTGGCTAAGGTACAGGTGAGCAGTGGAGGACGGGTTCAAGGAGTCGTGCTGCAAGATGGCACAGAGGTGAGGAGCAAAGTGGTGCTGTCCAACGCGTCACCGCAGATCACCTTCCTGACGCTGACACCACAGGTGAGGCCTTGGGGCGGGAGGTTAAGATGTCTGCTGAGACTGGGGCTGGAAAATGGGGGTGATCGAGAGAGGCGGGACTGCAACAGGGTGAGAGATGCACGTGCCAAGTCTCCCTACTTTGGGGGAAGCCAGTCCTTCTCCTTCTTACCTAACAGGCAGGTAGCAAACAGGGTAGAAGCCACACAGGTGAGGAGAAAGGTCTAGAGTGGGTAGATGCCCTAGGCCATGCAGCTGGCAATCGGCAGAACCGGAGCTGGAACCCAGGTCCGACTTTCAATCCAGAGTTATTTATACAATTCTCCTGCGATCCTGATTTCTCCCTTTTAACCAACTCTACCTCCACTGTCTATGCCAATTATCTATTTCTATAAGAATTCTGCATAACAAACAACCACACGACTTCTGGGCACATAACAAGAGATACTAATTCAGCACACAAAGCTGGAGAATTCTGTTGATCTTGGCTGAGTTCAGCTGATCGGGGCTCACTCATGCATTGGCCACCAGCTGTGAGTCAACTCATGGGTCCTGCTGCTCTTGGCTGGGCTCCCTCATGTGCCAGCGGCCAGCAGGCTGTGGCTAGTCTGGGACAGCTTCTGCGGGAATGACCAGGGTGATTCATCTCTGTTCCATGTGTCTTTCATCCTCTAGCATATTCTCAGCATCTGTCAGAGGGCAAAAGCAAGCAAGCTCAATCATCCAAATACTTTTCAAGACTTCTATTTATATCCTGTTGACTAACATTGGCCTCGCCTCATGGCCAAGCCCAGAGTTAGAGTAAGAGGGCATGAAAGGGCCATGTATACAGGGAGGGGCGGAATTTAGGGCAATTTTTTGCAATTGACCACAACTTCGCTGTCTCCCAAAAGATATGATAATATGTGAATGAACATGGCGTTCCCAGCCATTCTAGGAACTATTCTTGGGTACAAGCACCACTTTTCTGAGTGATTCCACTAATAAAATTTAACAAAGATCAGTTCAAAAGCATCTTGTTGAGGCAATTCTGAGATCATTTCCAAGAGCTTACAGACCAGAGTAGAAAAAAAGGACCGCAGACCACTGGCCATATCCCATGGACGAGCTGGTGTGGGCCAGTTATAGTCAAGACTGCTGACAGAGTGCAGAAGAAGTGGCTGGCACTGAGCAGGAGGGGGTCCAGGAGGGCTTCACAGAGGAGGTGGTTTGGCTGAGCTCTGAAGGATGGAGAGGATTTCTGGAAGTAGAGGTCAAGGGACCAGTCTGAGCAAAGGAAGAAAGCAGCCCCATGGGGGCCTTGGCCATCCTCGGGGCTTTCATGGAAACTTCTCCTTCCAGAAGTGGCTTCCTAAAGAGTTCACGGAGAGGATCTCTCAGCTGGACACTCGGTCACCCGTCACCAAGATCAACGGTAAGTGGCACACCACATTGCAGAGCTATCTCTTTTGACGTCACCTGAGTGAGCAATCTCCAGGTCTGGGGAAAACTGACCGACATCGTCATCTCTATCCCCAACCTCCAGCCTGCCCCCCAGTTTGAAGGCGAAACACTTTTTCATATTTTCTCTTCCTAGTCCACCACTTGGGTGAGCAGGGCGATGGTAGAGAAGGAGAACTCCTGGGTGGGACAGGGCTGAGGATGAAGGCCTTTGGGCCCTGACCCTCCCCTTTGGTCACTTAGTGGCTGTTGACAGGCTTCCTGACTTCCTGGCAGCCCCCAGTGCTATCGAAGGCCAGCCGCTGCCCCAACACCACTGTTCCATTCACCTGAACTGTGAAGACACCGACCTCCTCCATCAGGCTTTTGAAGATGCCATGGACGGCCGGCCTTCCCACAGGTGGGTGGACCCTGAGCTTTGCGTCCCCTGGAATATTCATACACATGGTCCTGGGGAGAAGGGGGCGACTGTCCAGACACAGCAGAGATCGCCTCTTCCTCCTGGTTAAACATTCATGATGATGTCGATATCTGCCTAAATCCATGCTTGGGTTCTGAGGTGAAGAAATGCATTCCAGACAAGAAATCTCTGGGCCAGGGAAGGTTAAGGGGTGAAGAGTAGGACATATTCAGCCAAGTGTCACAGATTAGCAGAAGGGGCAAAGGACTGCAGAGAGAATAGTGCTGGCATTTGGGAAGAACTGGAGGAAGAGCTTTCTGGGAGAGAAAGAGAGATTATCCGATTCAGCAGCTTGTCAGAAGGCACATACTCACCTGATTCTACAGAAGGCACATACTCTACTTGATTCTCACTCATCTCTGAGCAGCTGCATTCACGCAAAACTTCTAAAAGCATTTCCCACCTCCAGCTGCAGCTGCATCCCCATCCTGTGGAAAGAGGCAGGGATGTTGCAGGAGCAAGCATCTTTCCATACTGTCAGTTGTCCACCAAAACTTGTTGAAAACCTATTCTGTGCCAGGCTCTGTATAGGTATAGATTAGGGGAACTGGGAACCAGACATGAAACAGAGTTTATCCTAAGACATGCACACAAATGTTCACAGCAAGAGGTAAAGAGGACGTATGCCCTGAAAGAAGGTTAGAGGGCGAAGTCCACTTATCCATTCATACATATTTTGGGGCCCCTATTCTAATTCAGGGACCTGGTCGCAAAGCAGCAAGCAGAGTCAACACGGCCTCCACCATCAGATCACTGACCTTCTATGGTGGGAGACAAAACAGTCGACAAACATGCACTGATGATTCGGAGAAAAATAGGTCAGGGGAAGGGAGGGTTTGCTAGTCTTTATAAGGAGGTCAGGAAAGCCTTCTCTGATAACACAACGTTTGAGCAGAGACCTGAAGGAAGTGAGAATACAGGTCTTGTGGATATCTGAGGAAGAACATCCAGACAGAGGGAAAGTCAGGTGCAAAGGCCCTGGGGTAGGAGTGTGCCGCTGTGTTGGAGGCATAGGGATGAGGCCAGAGTGGTTGGAGAAAGAGAACCTAGAAGTGAGGAGTGAGAGTGGGGTCTGAGCTGCAGCCGCCACATCCTGCAGGGCCTTGTCAGCCACCCCTGGCTTTTACTCCAGGGAAGTTTGTGCAAAGCCCGACTCCTACTTTAAAAGGAAAACTCCAGCCACTGTGTGCAGGAAAAGGGCCTCTGTTGCAATTGGTTACTGTTGCAGAACCCAAGGGAGAGGGAATGGTGGCTTAGACCATGGTGGCAGCAGAAATGATGGGTCTCTGAAGGCAAAACTGGCAGGATTGCTGTTTGACAGGAAGTGGGGTGTGAGTGAAAAAGAGGAGCCACCAGATGATGGCGTTTCCCTTATTGAAAAGGGGAAGGTGGTGCATGTAGGGAGGAGTGGGTTTTGGGGGAAACCAGGCGTTTGGGTTTAGACAAGTTACTTTGATGATGCCTAGTGGACATCCAAGCTCAGAGGAAACATTGCAAATGTGCGATGCAAGAAGAAGGGGCATTTCATGTGGGCTTGAAGGATGGTCGTATTTGGAGATCAGAGGCAGAACGTGCTCCAAGCAGAACAGGCGTCGTAAACAAGAGAGGAACAGGAGGCAGTTCCTAGTTCTGTTGGGTGCCAGGCAGCCCCGGGAGCTCTGTTTTACTGCCTGCTCAGGAAAGGTAATCAGGCAGGGGTAAGCTTGGTTGAAATCTGGCCGCCTGAGCACTTTCTGTCTTAGCCTGGCCCCTTCACTCATTCGTGCTGTCTGGACCCTGATTAGGGTACGGGCCATGTGGGGGAGGGAGGCAGGGAATGGCCACACATTCAGAGGGAGGATGGGCAGGACCAGAGATGCTGGGGCCTGGGGCTGGAGGAGCTTCTCAGGAGTAGCCTGGACTGTCCTGGTGGTCGCAAAACCCACGCAGGTGAACAACCCTCATGGCTTTACAGCGATAATCGGCCCGGCCTTCTCATCATCATCTTGTCTCAGGCCTTCATTTCGTCTTCATCATCTCAGAGAAGCCCCTGCCCCTTTCCTTCAGATCTGACTCTCTCTCCTCCCCCATCCCAAAGGCCTATGATTGAGCTCTGCATCCCTTCCTCGCTGGACCCCACCCTGGCTCCTCCCGGCTGTCACGTGGTCTCCCTCTTCACTCAGTATACTCCCTACACACTGGCTAGAGGCAAGGTCTGGGACGATCAGGAGAGAAACACTTATGCAGACAAAGGTAAGGAGGGCTAGACCGTCCTGTCTCCAGAGCGACAGCTGGCCATGTAGCCTGGATGGTTCCCTCTCCTAAGTGCCCCATTCAGAATAAACGCCTTCAGATTCTGTCCCAAGTGGAGAGAAGTACCCAAAGGAACCTAAGTCAAATAGTGAATGCCTGCTGGGTTCAGGCACTGAGCTAAGGAAGTGAAAAAGACACAGTTCCTGCCCTCAAGTTGCTCATAGTCTAGTGGTTAAGTCATAAAGAAACCAACCTTACGGTACAAGCTACTATGTGAACCAAAGGAGGAAGCTGTGAGCCAGAGAGACAAGGAGAGCTTTCCCAAGGAGGGGACATTCGAGCTGGGTTTTAAAGGATGAATAGAAGTTGGCCAGGCAGCAAAGGGCATTCTAAGCAAAAAAACAGCTCGAGCAAAGCAATGAGGCGGAGAAAGCTTCTCATAGTCAAGGGGAGACAAGTAACTTTGCGTCTAGGGTTGGGGTAAGGAGTTGGGAATGAGTGGGGAGCTGGACTACCCTGAGATCCATAGGCCTGAAGTATTTATTTGCCTGCGGACCATTTTTGTGTTTTGCTAATTGAGATATAATTTGTATATGCTAAAATAAACCCATTTTAAGTATATGGTTTAATAAATTTTAGTAAACTTGCCAAGTTATGCAACCATAACACCTCCTCTCTCCCAATGCCATCCCATTTTCCTGCTGTCTGGCGCCCAGTGTTCGATTGCATCGAGGCCTATGCCCCTGGCTTCAAGGGCTCCGTGGTGGGCAGGGACATTCTCGTACCACCGGATTTGGAGAGAATCTTTGGGCTTCCTGGAGGGGTGAGTATAAGCCTGGCTCCCTTCTTCTCTCTGCTCCCCCTCCCTGGCGTGCCCTCCACACCCAGCCTTCATCAGAAGAGAGGGTAGTGGCAGAGACCACAGCAGAGAGGAGACAGAGAAGTGATCAGATCTAGGGCGTGGGGGAGGAGTTAGGTGACATAGACAGGGGAGGCCGTGCCACCAGGATTGTGGCCCTTCTGCGTGGATGTCCATGTTAGCCCCTGCCATCTGACTTTCCTCAGAGGGAGCTTCCACCCTAAGGTGGCATGTCCTCAGACTTCTATTTGATGTTTCAAAAACTCACTGAGACTGGAGGCATGGAGACCGGTTAGGAGGCCAATTCCAACAGAGCAGCCACGAGCCTCATGTGGACATCAATCACTTGAACGTGTCTAGGCCAGAATGAGATGTGCTGCAAGTGTAAGATGCATACAGATTGCAAAGACTTAGTACAAAAAAAAAATGGAAAATGTCTCATTAATAATCTTCATCTTAACATGTTGACATGATAATGTTTTAGATCTACTGGGTTAAATGAAATATATTGACGCTAATTTCACTCGTCTCTACATTTCAATGTGGCTACTAGAACATAAGAATTATATATGTGGCTCGTGTTATCTTTTTAATGGACCTCACCAGCCCAGATATAGAGTAAAGGAGGAAAAAGAATGGATGAATGTGAAAGGCCTGGGATGGGCAGAAGTGACAAGTCTTAGTAACACTGACTGTAGAGGCCAAGGTGGGAATGATGTGAAGGATCCAGCCTGGAGGCGGAGGAGAGGAAGGTGGAGGCATCCACCGAGTCAGGGAAGGTGAGAGAGAGCAGACACGAGGGATGAGGGCGAGCTCAGTTTTCGGACATGCTGAGAGGTTTGGCTGCAAGGACATCTCCACGGTGACGTCCAGCAGAGGCTGGTCTTCTGCCCCATGTCCACACTGCCTCCCTTCTTGACTGATCTGACCCAGGCCCATGGAGCAGAACTGGGCTCGGATCCCAGTGCCCTTTGTCTGCCATTACTGGGATACTGCTGGAGCTTGGACCCATGGGGCCCAGGCGCACATGGGTGTCTTGGCCAAAGAAACATGTGCCAGCAACCAAAATGAGTCAGATTCCTCTATCACTTAAATAGAGCGAATGGGATTTATGGCCCACAACAAAACCTTTAAAATCTCTCTTGTCTTTCCCATTCAGTCTCCTCACACTCTGAAAACACTCGCTACCTTTATTTCTTCCTGAAAAAAATGCCTCTGGAAAACTTCGCCCCTAGCCCTAGGACGTGGGCCTATTCTCTCTCTTCCCCTACCCTTTCTGCATCATGAGAACCAAGAAAACATCCCAGAAGGAGAATACCCTTCCTCAGAGAACAGGGAAGGGGAGAAGGCCACGGAGGCGGTGAAGACCATGACACTCCCATGTTAACAGCCTTGGCCCTGCCTCCCACAGAACATATTCCATTGTGCCATGGCCCTGGACCAGCTCTACTTCGCCCGCCCTGTGCCCCTGCACTCCAGCTACCGCTGCCCTCTCCGGGGCCTGTATCTCTGCGGAAGTGGGGCCCATCCTGGTGAGTAACCCTCGGTCCCACTGCCTTATGGGGCCAGCGAGGGCTGGCCGGACATCGGAGGCTTGCAGACAGGGGAACAGGATAAACAATGAGGAAGGCAGGAAGGGAGGGAAGGGAGCATGGAACTCCTATGAGAACAAGCCATGCCCCATATTCAGAATTCTCAGCACTTGGGGAAACAAACAGCGGCCGCAGCCCACAGGTCAACTCCCGCCATCTCCTCGTGAGGTTCGATGATATGTCCCAGAGACATCTCTCCGAATTCCAGTTTGGGGTTGTGAGACCCATGTCTCTGAATCCCCCCTCCATATTTTAGACCAACAAGAATCAGTAAAGTGACTCGATTTTAAAATCCTTCCCTGCACCTATCCCAAGCCTAACTGACCTCGCAAGGCCGCCATTTCATTTTGACACTTTCTCAGAACTGTGTAGCCCTCAGCTTCCCAGAAAGACTCTGTACTTCCATATCTTTCCCCTCAAGCCCTCAGTCGCATGTCTTAGTTTCATGTGCTGAGCATCTCGCCATCTAGCTCATCAGCTCAGACTGAGAAGGGGCAGTTGCTAGACTGTGTGCCTGGCCTCCCCCCAAGAGCTCTGAGGCAGGAAGCCTGGAGGGGAGCTCAGATTTGTCTTCATAGTGGACCCAGGTAGCTCTGATGCCCGCAGCCCGAGTGCCTCCCTCAAGCATTCTGTTCTGCCTGGTCGCTGGCCCCTCTGTCTGTCCTGCCCCTGCCTGTTCCCTGGGGGGTGTTGAGCTCAGCTTTGGTTCATGGGAGACTCCCTTCCAGGAGGAGGTGTCATGGGAGCCGCTGGACGCAATGCAGCCCACGTGGTCTTCGGGGACCTCAAGAGCATGTGACCCTGAACCAACTCTGACCCAGGAAGAGGAATCCACCCTTGAGCTTTTAAGGCCCCATTGGATCATCTTCCCAGGCTATGACTTGAGGCAGACCAGTCCTCAAGACTGAAGCGACTATTTTAGAATAAATGGACAAGTTGACCTTGTACCCATGACTTAATGAATGAACTGGTTTTGTTTTATTAAAAACAATGTTTTATACAGAGTTTACATTTTTCTATATATTTGTAGAACAGGTAATAAGTAATAATTATGTAATGACATATCTATATGATAATAGGTGAGCTCTACTTGTTTGAGATACTCAGTATCCTCACAACATCAGCTCCAAACAATCCATTTGACCAACGAGCATTCCTGTCTCACTGCTGGGCCCCCTCCACCAGCAGATTGGAGCACTGCCTCAGTGATGCCCAACCTACTGCTGCCATGTTCCAGGCAAACTGTAGGAAAGGACCCAATTTCCCAGGGACCCACCAAGTCATGCACAGGAGCCATCGGCCTGAACAATGCTTGGCATCTCAAGCCATAGAAGTCACTAGAGTCAGGGGAACAGCAGTCAAGGGTGAGTGCAAGGTGCACGCAGCTGAGGGCCATCCGGGAACCCACATTCCTGATTCTGGAACAGTCAACCTCTTACTTCCCATAAGTGACATACCTGTCATATCACTAAAATCTCTCCATATAAACCTACATGATTAAAGTGATTGGGTTGCTCTCTTGGTCAGAAAGAATCACAGATGTCCCCATGGTAATGCGACTCTCCCAGCCAGCTTCTCCAATCTCAGCCGCCGAAGCCACACGGCCCAGAGATCCCCACCAGCAGAAGAGGCAGAAGGTTCTCTGGGGCATCTCCTCCCTCCTTTCCTTGGGCAATTTATCCAGATTAAGATATACCCACCTCATTACTCAACTTTGCTAAACTCAGATTTCTCACCGGTAAAGGAGTTGTTTTAAAGATCAAATAAGACAGTAGGTCATGTTTTAGTCCAGCATCTGGCACACAATAGTCAGTTCATAGTGGTGGTCTTGCTGCTAATACTGTTGGTGAAGACGTTACTGTCATTTTTGTATTCTGTGGAAAAAAGGAAGGAAAGAAGGGAGGGAGGGAGGGAGGGAGGGAAGGAAGGAGAGAAGGAGGAAGGAGGGAGGGAGGGAGGGAGGAAGGAAGGAAGGAAGGAAGGAAGGAAGGAAGGAACGAAGGAAGGAAGGAAGGGGAAGAAGAAGCATGTAGCTGAGGGTAAGTACTAATATCTGTAGTAAGATGTGTCTTACTATATTCTCTGTGAAGGCAGCTGTCTTGTTCTTTATCACCCGTGGACTTACAGCTCACCTCTTCCAAATTCACACACAAGGAGAGCAGAGTTGAATGACAAATAAGAACTTGTGAAATCTCCTGAGGCCTGGGCAGTGATATCACATCAGACTTGGTCTTTCGAAATATTAATGATTTTTTTGGTAAATAAAAGTCACAGATGCTTAATTTAGAACATTTTAAAGATATAATAAGAAAGAACATAAAACTCAAACATAACCTTACCTGCAGAGATAATCATGGTTACCATTTTATAATATTTTTGGCTAGTCTTTTTACATAATTTGGATCACATTCTATATTCTATACATGAGCTTTATACCTTTCTTTTACTTCAAGTCATGAGCTTTTTCCAGCATTATAAAAATCCTTTGAAAACATCTTTTTAATAGCCGCCTAATATTCTCTTATAAGAATATATTATGGGATCTTGAGTTCAGCCTAAGCCTTGATTGCTAATTAGCACCAGCCGAAGACCAGAAAGCTACTCCTACTTGATTGACTCACCGTCCTGTCTACCAGGATTCAGCTGCTGTGGAGGCAAACAGCAGGAGGAGGCCAGGGAGAGGCAAAAGAGCAGTTTTAGCACTGAAAGGAAGAATTTCCCACTGTTTGCTGACTTCTTGTCTCTGTCTCACAGCTCTGGAAGATACATTTGGTTCAGACTGAAACACGTGATCAGGCCTTGGCCCTGTGGGGTGCCTTGCCTCCTATAGGTCCCAGCAGTCCGGCTGAGCAAACGGGATTGAGCTTCCCCAAAGTGATGACTCTGCAAAGTGGTCGTGGATGGGGCAATGGGTCCCGTGCTGACTATAGAACGTTAACCTCTTACAAGGATAAATAAGTCGACACCATATTGTTACCTGATTTACAGTTACCTGTTTCCCCGAAGCAGTAGGAAACACTTCCTCTGAGGTACAATCGTATAAAAAACATGAAGCGTACATGAGCTTCACCTGGTTAAGTCGTTAGGTAATGCAGCCAGCCCTGTCTGCCCCAAGGGCTTGTGGGCCATGATGTCCAGTGTCTGGGTGACATGTGAGATTTACAGCTCTGGGAGGAATTCAGGCATCCTAGCTGGAAGAATGAGAAATGTGGCCAGCCAAGCCACCTGCGGGCCTTGCGAGTGTGCGTTTTCCTGATACATGTTCTGTTTACAAGCATTTGACAATGCTGAGTTCTTCTGTGGTACATTGATATTACTCCCGTGGTAAAAGCAGAGAAGCGATGGGAACAGAGACTTGCCCAAGCATGGCGTGGAATTCTGTGCGGAGGAGGAAAACATGTAAAATAAGAAGTAACACAAAATGCAGAAAAGGAAACACAAATGGACAACAAACCTAAAAAAAAAATATTTACCCTCACCAGGAATCAATTACATGCAGTTAAACCAAACTATCATATTTTACCTATAAAAACTGAGAAAAAAAAATATTTGTAATAGAAAATCACCAGGGTGGGCAGAAAAAATTATTCTCATACAGAGAATGTTGGCAGCTGCATTAATTTGTATTTGATTATGAGACTCAAAAGACAACATCTAAAAGCCAACCCATTCGGTGGGTATTCACCATCTTGTCATTTAGCCTAAGGAAAATATCAGAGCTGTCCTCAAGGATTTAGGTACAAGCATATTCATTCAGTGTTATTTGCAATGGCAAAGTATTGAAAACAGCTTCAATGTCCCAAAATAGGGAATTAGTTGTTAATCACATGATAGACTATCAAATGGCAATTTGTAAAAAATCACTTTTGAAATTACTTTTTTTAATCACATGGAAAAATGCTAAGAAAAAGTAAGCTACTTGTTTTACAATTTTGTTTATAGCGATAAACAATAGCTATCTGTCTGTCTCTAATACATATGTACCTATATATTTCATACATATACATACAGAGAGAGAGACAGAGACAGAGACAGAGATAGAGATGGAGAATAGAAACAGAGAGACAAATGGGAATGAAGCAAGTACACCTGAAGGTTACCAGTAGCCTGAAGTCTTTCTTGCCACTCGATGGCAGTTTGGAAAATGTCCCTTACTACCCTCATATAACCTATCTTAGTTTAAGAACAAGCCCAAAGTAAATGGATGAGGCTTTGAAACTTTGTTTAAAACGATCATCTAGATCTGGTCCAAATGATTTGTGAATTACTTGTGCATTAATATACTGATCATAAAATAGAGGATTTCAGACATGGTTTGGTCTTAGATTTCTTTGATGGAGGAGTGGGGATCTCTATCACCTGAAGTTCCCTTGACATCACAAAAGGCAAGGAGAGTGTATGGTCAGTGTTTCAACAGCCCTACAGAAATCCTGTGTTCTAGTAGAGAGGCTACAGAGGTGGACCCAAACCTGGACTTTCTTTGGTTTTACCTGAAATTGTATCAGTTCTGTTATGCAGGTTGTCAGATCAACAACTCGACATCTGGTTAGATATGTCTTTGACTAATAAAGAAATTGGAAAATGAATTAAATGATCCTGAGCAAACCATATAGCTTGGTATGCAGAAATCTTCCAAAACAATGGGTCTCTTAAGAAAAATTAATACAGAGGGTTGGCAATAGTGAAAAAGCATTGGAGCTGGTCTTACACTCTCTGCTCTGCCAGTTCGCCTTTCTTCCTGTTTGCTCTTTCAGGACCAATGGAGGAAGTGTGGGTCTGGCTCCAAAGCTGCCATGCATCCAAGAGCTAATGATGCCTTCCTCACAGAGGGAAATGTGAGAATTATATTTATAAACATAGCTCACCAAAATGTGCATACCCTACAGCCCAGCAATTCCACTCTAAGTGTATACCCAACGGAAGTGCTTACATGTGTTCACCAAAAGACATACAAGACTGCTCATAGTAGCACTACTTATAATACCTCCAAACTGGAAACTACCAAATGATCATCAGCAGTGGACTATATAAGTACATCGTGGTATATTCACACAATGGGATCTTATTCAGCAATGAGAATGACCAACCTAGAACCACAGGCCACAATAGTATGTTGAGTCAAGAAAGATGGGCATAAAATAATATAGGCCATAGGATTCCATTTAAAAAAATGTAAAAAACATGTAAAAGTTATCGACCCTGTTAGAGATTCGCCTTGAGTGTGTTAGGGACTAGAAGGGAGCCTGAGAAAGTATTTGGGGTGCTGGTAACATCCTGCAGTTCGATCTGTGCGATGGTTCACAAGTATGTTCAGTCTCTGAAAAATTCATCCAGCTCTAAACTTACAATGATGCTGTGTCTATAATGTGTATTATACTTCAATAGAAAGCTAAAAAGAGAATTAGTTTCGTACCTGGCACAAAGTGATATGACTTGTGAACATCATTACTAAAAAGAGAATTAGTTTGGTACCTGGCACAAAGTGATATGACTTGTGAACATCGTTACTGTAAAGCTCTTATTTACTAGCAAAACCCTAGGCATGAGTCTAGACTAGGACAGGGAAATGAAGGCAGAGGGTAGGAAAGGAGAAGGAAGACAGAAAGGACAAGAGGAATGTGGTAGATAGACGTCCAGGGTGCCCTGTGCCCATGACCCGTGCTTTATGGCATTCGTACCCTTTATGATCCCCTCCCTCTGCATGTGGGCAGGACCCGTGACTTGCTTCTAACCAATGGAATACGACAAAGGTGACAATATATATGTGATTATGTCACAAAAGATGACAGTGCCCATCTTGCAGGATTCTCTCTCTCCCTGGCTGGGTGTGAGAAAGCAGCCGGCCACATTGGGAATCCCCATGTGGCAAGTAACTGTGGCAGTCTCCAGGATCTGAGAGCAGCTTCCAACCAACAGTCCTACAGCCTCCAGGACCTAAATACTGCCAATAACCATGTGAGCAGGGAACGGGTCCTTCCTGGTTGGGCGTCCAGGTAGGAGTGCAG